AGCAAAGTATCCGGGCTGGCTGCCGAGAAGGTCCATTGACAACGGGTTGACATAATTCTCTGGCCGTAGGGCTACTGCCTCAGGGAGTACATTTTCTGGGGGAAGACCCTGGGAAAAGCCTTCCAATACTATTTGGGTGAAGTTAATTCTTGACTCCATTGGTACCCTCACCAGTAAAATAAAGTGAGACCGGGGCTGGGGATTTAGCTCAGTGGCACAGCGCCTGCCTGACAAGCACAAGGTTGTAAGTTCGATTCCCGGTACTGGAAAAAAAACCAATGAGTGAGACTGAACCTGTTCAAATGTTCTCTTGGAGTCCTGCTTCTGCTCATTAAGCTTCCATGGTGTCCCACTGTCCACTGAATAAAAACACAGAGTCCTGGCCTGTCTCCTGCAGTGCTCCCCACAATCAGGACCCAGACGACCTTTCCAGAGTGCCGTCTCAACACCCTCCCTTGTCCAAATACCTGGCAGTTGTGTCTCACTGCCATTGCCCAGCACTGTGAGAGAGATTATTGCCCTGCAGATCTCTGGCCCAGGAAAAGATCAACATTCAAAATAGCAAGAACAGTTTCTGCTGAGTGTATATCAATTTCCCACCCTTCTAAAGTTGAAAAATCTTCAGTGGAACCATTGTAAGTAGGAGACTATATCTACCTGCTGATTCCTCTGCATGCCCCATTCTTGCACCTTTTTGTTTTGTCTTTTTGAGACAGGATCTCACTATGCAGTTCAGGCTGGCCCTGAACTCACTTTGTAGCCCAGGCTGGTCTCGAACTTGCAATGATCCTCCTGCCTCAGCCTCCTGAGTGTTAGGATTACAACTGTGCGCCACCACGCAGGCCATTTTTTTACCTTTATGCCTCCACTTGGGGTATTTGTCACCGAGAAATCCTATCCACAGTCTATACATATCAATGTTTTCCTTCTCCACAAGCAGCCAGTCCTGGCCTCCTCAGCACTCTGTAGACCTTTCATGGCCCTCCTTGATGGTTATTTTTCTCTTTCTCTCTTTTTTCTTTTCTGTGCTACTGAAGCTGTTGAGCCCATTGAGCTTCATGCGTGCTAGGCAAGCGCTCTACAACTGAGCCACATTTCTATCCCCTCTTGGGCTGTTATTTGTGTGTAGCTGTCCCTGCTGGATCATGGACTCTTAGGGGTTGGAGTACAGATTGTCAGTATGAGTCAACTTGGGCTACTATAACAAAATATCGCTGACCAAGTGACTTAAACATAGAAATCTGTTTTCTCATAGTTTGGAAATCTCTTAGTTTGGAGTTTGGGAATCTGATTTTGAGCATGGTTTTGTTTTTGGTAGTTCTTCCCTTCCTGGCTTGCAAATGGCTACCTTCTTACTATCCACCTTTTTACAGATGGCCTTCACATGGTCTTTCCTTGGTTTATAAACTGAGAGAGAGACTCTTTTCCTCTTCTTAGAAGGATACCAGTCCTATCAGTTTAGGATCTCACCTTTAAGACTCCGTTTAGCTTAATTACCTCCTAAAAGCCTTGCCACCAAAGGCAGTCACAGTGGGAGTTAGGCTTCAACATACAAACTTTGGGAGGACACAATTCAATGCAGGGCATTCTGTATTCAGTCCCTCAAAGTCATGTCCTTCTCGTATGCAGAATACATGCCCTACATCCCAATAGCTCCAAAATTCAGCATCAGCTCAAAAGTTCAAATTCTCATCTAGCCGGGCATAATGGTACACGCCTGTAATCCCAGCACTTGGGAGGCTGAGGCAGGAGGATCGTTGCAAGTTTGAGGCCAGACTGGACTACAAAGTGAGCTCAAGGCCAGCCTGAACTGCATAGCGAGATTTTGTCTCAAAAAAACAAAAAAGCAAAACAAAACAAAAACAAAGTCAGACTTGGGTGAGACTTGAAGTACAATTTGTCTGGAGGCAAAATCCACTTCCAGCTGTGAACCTGTGAAACCTGACAGGAAGGTACGTACTTCCAAATACACTAGTGGGACAGGACAGACATTCTCATTCCAAAAGGGAAAAGTAGGAGAGAAGGAAGAAGTGTTGGTTTCCAGCAAAGCCCAAACCCAGGAAGGGAAATTGCATTAGATTTTCAGCCTTGAGAATGACCCTCGTAGGTTTCACGCTCCGCCCTCCAGGTCCAGTGAGGCAGCAGCACCGCTGCAGGGCTGCATTCAGGACTCTTGTTGTCCCAGGGCTTCCGGCAGAGGTCATCTGACTTGTAGAAGTGAGGTGGTGGCCCTGCTGATCTCTAAATTGCCCTCCTGGTAATATTTTCCTCTTCTCAAGGAATCAACTTGTCCAGTATTGCATACCCCTGTGGTCCCATCTTGCTCTGTCAGCTCCAAGTGCGGGGCTTCTGTCCTGTGTCCTGCCTCTGCCCTTTCGGCTCCAGCTGGCTGTGTCCCTGCTCATGCTATCAGGCGCAGGTCACACGCGCTCTTGGTGTTCTCTTCAGAGGGTGCTTTCTCATTTTTTGCAAGATGGGTGGGCTGAGAATTTTCCAAGTCTTTGATTTCTAGTTGTTTTGTGTGTGTGTGTGTGTGTGTGTGTGTGTGTGTATGTGTTTTGCCTAAAAATTCCATCTTCTATTGATCTTGCCTTTGCTTTTTACTCTAACCAAGCTGCTTCCTCCCACTTGGCTGAGTTGTGTCCTCAGCCAAATATCTAATTGCCTCTCTCAAAGGTTCTGCCTTCCACAAAACACTAGAACACAGTTCAGTCGAGGTTTTTTGACACTTTATCACAACGGTTGCCGTTTTTCCAGTTTCTCATAACATGTTTTTCATTTCCATCTGAGACCTTCTCAAAATGACCTTCAGTGCTCATTTTCCTAGCAACATTCCGCCCATGGCCATCTAGCCTTTTTTCTGGCATTAATCTCTGAAACTCCTCCAGCAGTGACCCATTACCCAGGCCCGAATCAGCTTTTACATTTTTAGTTATTTGCTACTAAAATAGCAAATGCAGTCACGGTGGGAGTCTCCCTTCTCAGACCAAACTCAATTGTAGTCAGCTTGGGTGACTATAACAAAAGACTGTGAGCTGGGTAAATTAACTAACAGAAATGTTCTTTCTCGCAGTTCTAGAGGCAAGAAGTAAGAGGTCATGGTGCCAGCACACATGGGTTCTGGGGAGGGATCCCTTACTGGTTGCCCATGGCCACCTTTCCGCTGTGAGCTCACATGGCAGAGAGGGAGATCGTTCTGTCTCTTTTCCTCCTTTTGTAAGGATATCTGTGTGGTCAGATTAGGACCTTTGCCTCATGATCTTGGTTAGCTTCAATTACCCCCCAGACACCCAGCTACAAAGGCAGCCTTAGAACTTCAATGAATGGCTGTGATGGTGGGGTGGGGGCAGTCCAGAGCACTGCCCAATATTTCTAACCCTCTCCCAGTATCCTACAGAGTGGCACTCTGTAAATGCAGTGGGAATTGAGAGAAACTGAATCTCTGGGCTGTCAAAGAGTTGCCTTTATTAGCTGTGCATTCCTGTGGGATTTCTAGGGTCTCACCCACCGGGTGGGAAGAGAGTGAGCAGGTTTTTGTAGGCATGTAACTGAAGGAATTGCCTCAGCTATCGCTACTGAAGACCAGCCTCATGGGGTAAGAATGTTAGAAGGCTGGTATTTATCCAAAGAGAAATTCCACCTGACTTTTTATGCTAAGAGCAATAATCATTCTTTTGAGCACTTGAATTTGTGTGTGTGTGAGATATATATGATGAAGATATATATATATATATATGATATGTGAATGTCACTGTGAAGGGGCATTTCCAGTCTCATTCAGAAATTATCTTCATGTTCTCATGCATGTTTTTCTATCTTCTCCCCCTACTTTTAATTTGTAGAATTGTGCCACATTTTTGGTACCTTTTAAGCCTCTAGAATTCCAGAAATCTTTCCAGAAACATGGTAAGGCTTAAATGCATTTTTAAAATAAATAAAATTGCTTACACATTCTCTGGGAAGAATTTACAGTTCAAATCTCTACATCAAAGAAACAGGATGAATTCATATATGAGCCTGATGTGGAGTGAAAAAGAATCTATGTCTCTGCTTACCTATTAGTTACTAAGCCAATCTTAACCATAAACTTTTTTCTTTGTCTTTTTGAGATAGGATAGGAACACTATGCAGTTCAGGCTGGGCTTAAGGTCCCTCTGTAGCCCAGGCTGGTCTCTAACTTGCAATGATCCTCCTGCCTCAGCCTCCTGAGTGCTGGGATTATAGGTGTGTGCCACCATGCCTGGTGTTACTATAAACTGTAAGAAGAGCTGTTGGCATCTTCATTACACATGAGAAAACTGAAGCGCATGGAGATTAAGTAACATGTCCTGTCTTTGAGTTGGTGGGGCTGCTGTTCAGATTCTGAACCCTCTGATGCTAAAACCATGTTCTTTCCAAAATGTTCTCTTGCTTCCATGATAGAAGCTAAATACCCAAAGTCCAGTCCTGGGGAAGAAGGAAAAGGCATAAACTAGAGAAGAGGCAGAATAAAGTCCTTGGAGGCTCTGTCCTGGGATGGGGTTTTTCAGGGCTTTCAATTGCATCTGGGAATCCAGCCTAAGGCACTGGAGGTAGTTTTAGAAGCCACTTGCGCTGCTGGAAGGAGTCTGGGTCCTGGGTGACCAGGTTAGGCTGTGGGGCCAGGCTCCAGGACTGAGAAGAGTTGTCCAAGAACTGGGAGCAGGCAGAAACACTGGTGCTAGACTCTGAGAAGGCTCAGACAAGGTTGAGGAATCCCACAGTGTTCCCAGTGGGATAAGATAGATCTGCGCCTTGCCCGGGCACCACAGTTGGCATGGGCAAAGCAGAACAGTTTAGTTCAATAAACACTGGCTGAATGTCTGCTGTGTGGTACATGCTAAGGAAATGAAGCAGTCAACCTTGGGCCTGTCTGTGGAGTCCCCATGTTTCCAGGAGGGCAGATGAGTCCAGAACGGGGTCACTTCTAGTCTAGAACTAAGGATCCCGGTAGGATTCACATTCACACATCTCTCCTCCAGGGCCATGTTCTGCAACGACTTAAAGGAAAAGTACGAGAAGAGGATCGTTATTAAAGGGGTGGACGCCGAGACCATGCACACTCTCCTGGACTACACGTACACCAGCAAGGCGCTGATCACCAAGCAGAATGTGCAGCGGGTCCTGGAAGCTGCCAACCTCTTTCAGGTGCGTGAACAGGCAGGCCTGGTGCTCTCCTCCAAAGCAGGTGCTAGCAAGCGACCCCCAGAGACCTGCCTGGTCGGGCTCGCAGGCCTGAGTGCGCGGGGAGGGAGGGCTACGCACCCTTCGCTGGGCCTGCACTTGCATGCCAGTCAGAAGGTGCTCGTTGAAAATGTCCTGAGAGGCGGTGAGATGGAGCACTGACGCCTTTGTCAGATGAAGCCAGGGGAGGATGCTGCCTAGAATTTCCCATGGTCCCTCACTCCAGGTACAGTGACTGCAACCCACAGCAGCCTAACTGGAGCCTGCGGGTGCAGCAAGCACTTCATATGCAAAACTTGTGATTCCTAGCACAGCTGGGAGGTGGTTGCAGGTGGGGAAAGCAAAGCCACAAGGAGAATAACTAACAAGGCTGTGATCTGACCCCAGGGCTCTCTGAGTCCACTCAGTTCCCCAAGCAGCAGCATCTAAATTCTAGGAAACTGTGGTCTGCACTTTGCAGTGGGTGACTGAGAGGAGAGCGTGAGAATTAAGCGGTATTATAGAGGATGAAACAGCAGACCTGCAGAAAGTCTGTTTTAATACAGCATTTATTGTTTCTATTCAGTAACATTTGCTGCAGCTTGGTTATAAAAATTATATTAGCTCTGTAAAAAAGTTAGACCCATAGATGCTGCCAGTGGCATCCACAATTACGAGAAGGGTCCCCTCCCTTACCTTCTATGCCCAGGTCTAAGGTTATCCATGGAGCTTGAGTCCCCCAGCTCAGGCAGTGACTGTCTTATTACCTGGGTGTTGAGACTTAGCAGAAAGAGGCCAGGGACAGGAACAGGTCATTCGCAGGGACCAAGGCCAAGCATCAGCTCTTGCGCGTGGCCTGGCACTTTGGAAGGTGGTGTCCCCTTCACCGGAGGGCTAGCAGTTTGGAGGAGCAGCAAAGCACAGGGAAGGTGGGGAATGAGGGTCAAGGGTCAAAGACCATCGGCAGTGGCATTTGATTTGTTGAGCTGCAGTCTGGGCAGGATTTATGACGTCTGGCAAAGTTGTGAAAAATCAACCATGAAGCAGCTCTGATGAATTCTGAGTAGTAGGTTGCTGCAACTTCAGCCAGCGTCATTGGCTCAGCTGCCTTAGGGCGTCATAAAGATACAGAGCCAGTTACCTCTGGCAGGGCGACTCACACCTTGCCTGTGCGATGTGCAAGTCAGCTAATACGCACAGGTACGGTCTCCAACCCTCTGCCATGCGCACTGCTTACGGGAACCTCAGCCTCACTGCTGAGGGAGGGAGGTGCCTCTGTCAGGAAAAGCCTTCCTGGGTCACAGTAGTCTCGACCTACTTCAGCCTTTACATTTTGTCCTGAATTTTTCCAAAAAAGACCTTATGGAGCCAAAAGTTTCCTAAGAAATTTCTCCCGCTCTCCATTGTGTCCCCGCAGAATAACTTAGAGCAGAATCATTCCCTTCACCATTATTCAGTCAAGCCCCAGCTATCATGGTGATCTTCACACTAATCTCCTGCAATAATAACAGTGATGGTATGCATTGTTTTAATTAGAGTATCTGACACGAAAGAGCTGCTCAATGAACGTAGATTTTAATTAAGTACTTACCCGTGTGTCTTGAGTTATAAAATTGGGTCTCTTGTTTTTCTCGCTGGCTGAAAACAGGTCTTATAAAATAGGTTAAGGAGATCTACATTGCTGTTCAAAATGAGTTTTAGTATTTGTAATAACAATAGCATTATGAACTCATTACAGAATAATTAGAAACACATACAAACAAATGTAAAAACTACCAACAATCTCCTCCTACTCAGAGGCAATGTGTCAGCTTCCTTTAAATATACATAAAGGAAAACAGCATGACGGAGACGGCAGCTAGCAGGAAGGTTTAATAGTACAGTTTTGGAGCCACACTGCCAGGATTTAAATCCCAGACCCACCACTTAGCAGCTCTGTGGCACGTTTCATGATTTCTTTTTGCTCGTTTCCTTTTTGGAAAAACAAGGGTCATGATATGGCCTATTACATGCAGTTGTTGCAATATTTGTGAAATGAGTAGAATGGTAGTGGAGATATGATAAATGCCATGTACATATTTATAATATCATTAACTATTATATACATATTTGAAGAGAACTGTCTTGTTGGTGGCACCATTTTAAAACTGTGTACAAGTATTTTATCTATATTAGAACCATCTTTCCATGTCATACGTGCTTTTGTAACAACACTTAAAATAACTGAATGGAATTCAAGAAAATAATTTAGTGAGTCAATCCATACGGCTGAAAATTTAGGTTGTTTTCATCTACTTGACTATTCAAAACAATGCTGTCAGAAACATCCTTTTACTTTTATTTCATGTAGAAGAGATGAATATCTTAGAAAAAATAAACTAAGGACATAGAGAGGCAATTTATAAAAGAAAAAGACTAGCCGAGCAGCAACTATATTTTTAAACACCAAACATCACTAGTAGCCCGAAAAGCAACAATAAAATGACATATGTGTGTCATTTTGACAAGAGCATATACCATGTAATACTCGGTTTTGCAAATGGTGGGAAAATTGGCACTAGATCTGTTGCTGGTGGAAGTGTATGGAAACCTCTTTCTGGATCTCATTTCAGGAACAGATGGAAAACCTGAAGCAATAATTGTAGATTTTCAAAGTAGCTCATATAAATAGCTCTGTCATAGATTGGCACGCCCAAGTTCTAAACGCTGGTACCTGCAAATGCGATCTGATTTGGAAATAGGCTCTTTGCAGGTGTCACTAAGTTAAGGAGCTTGAGATCGTGGCGAGTTTAGGGTGAGTCCTCAGTCTAATAACTGGTGTCCTTCTGAGAGGAAGGAGAGGGAGAGTTAGCACAAAGACAGGGAGAGAAGAAGCCGTGTGGAGATGTGGGCAGGTGCTGGCCGCCACCACAGGGCTCGGACAGCAGCGTGGAACAGCTTCTCCATCGGAGCTCCGGGGCGAACTCACCCCGCCAGTGCCTGGATTATGGACCTCTGGTTTTCAGAACAGTGAGAAAATAAATTTCTGGTGTTTTTTAAGTTGCCAAGTTTGTGTTGATTTGACACAGCCGAACTAGGAAAAGAACACAAGTTTAAAAAGCCAGCTGTAGCTGGAAAGTCTGAGAACAGCAGTCTCTTGTTCTGTTTCCTCCTGCAGCCCGCTCTTCTGGCTTAAATGCTTCTTCTTTGATTTACCTCCATGTTTCTGTGTGATTTGTGTCCCCTGGGATCCTCTGAGGCATCGATTCCAGAACTTCTTTTCCCTCTGTCCTGTGCTGTCCTCTGAGCTGGCTGCTTCTCAACGCCAGTTTGCCCAGCTCTTATTCCGAGTGTCCTCTTTGCTGCCATCTTAGGAATTTCTTTTCTCTCTCTTTAAGATAGATTTTCTGTTCTCGGATCCCATGTGCAGTGGCCTGAATATTTGTGTCTCCCTAGATTCCTAGGTTGGAATTCTAACTTCCGGTGTGACGGTATGGGGTGGGAGGTTGGGAGGTGACTAGGCCATGTGCCTGAGTGTGGGAGGAATGAATGTCCTTATTAAAAAGACCCCAGAGAGGTCTCTCGCCCTCTTTCGGCCATCTGTGGATACAAGAAAAGTCAACCATCAGAACCCTGAGGGATGACCCCGCTAGAACCTGGCTGTACAAGTCCGTGCTCAGACTCCAACCTCTGGAACTGTGGGAAATAAACACCTCCTGCTTATAAGTCACTTGGTTGATGGTACTTTGTTATGGAAGCCTGAATTCTTCCCTCCTCCTTCATTTGAATGGATCAGTACATTTCATTGCTTACTATGAAGGGAGATA